TGGTCTGGAAAGATCACTTCTGAATTAAATATACTGGTCTTTGTCCTTTTCCACTTAATCCAGGACCAAAGACCTTTGTAGTCAGAACTAATTAGACCCAGCAGTGGAGCCTAAGGCCTGAGGTTCCACCCTGTGATCTAAACTCTCTTTGAGGTCAAAGGACAACATGTGAGACGCCTTTGCCCAGAGGTCACCGGTGGGGATATTTAACATTGAGTGAGAGGGCGTTCGGAGTTAGGATTACAATTAGGGTCAGGGTTAGAATTGTGTTTGTCAAGGTTAAGGGGCTAGGAAATCCAATATATCTACATGAAGTGCTCACAAAACAACATGCCTCTATCATTGAGATGTAATTTCATCAGTAGAATCTTTTCTATCAGGAAAACAGGGAAATCAGTGATTTATCTCAAAGACGTAGGAGCTGTCATTCACTACTGCCTCGTGTGGTCAGTTTTTGTCACTGATGTTAAACTGAAATCATTGAATAATCCCTCTGTCTCTAAGTTGTAGTGTTTGAAGACCATTGTTTAGACTGACCTCACTGACAAAAAACGACCACAGAACAAGTCAGTAAATATGGTTTGTGTTTGATTGTAAAAAATACTAAAACTTTGTATTTTTTTTTCATCAGACTCTAAAGCCTTCAAACCATGCCACCATCCAGAGCATAGTGCGTGCAGTTGGTGTGGTTCCAGGAATCCCGGAGCCGTGCTGCGTGCCGGAGAAGATGTCGCCGCTCACCATTCTCTACTTTGACGAGGACAAGAACGTGGTGCTGAAGGTTTATCCCAACATGATCGTGGACTCATGTGCCTGCAGATAGTTCCCCTGTGGGTTCTTCTTCTTCGTTTTTCTCCAGAGCTACGTCTTCACAATATAAAGTGAATCCCTCCTCCTGTCTTGATTGACCACGTACAGCTTGAACACTGGAGATGAAGGAGGATGGTGGAGACTTGACCACACCAGAATGGATGAATCACACGACTTCAAGTGGAGTATTAAACTCAGACAAATGTGATCTCGCTCCAGAGAGATGAAAAACATTATTGTTTTTGGTTTTTATTTTTATTTTAGTGACGTGGTCAAAGTGGTTTTCCTGGATATGATCTGGTCTGTGGTCGTCACTAACTTCTATGCTCGCACTTGCATGGTTTCAGCTCCTGTGTTTGTATTTATGTCTGTATGTCACTGTGTTATATTTACTATAAGAGAAGTTATTGATTGTTCATTCGCTGACATGTTTTTTTGCCCGGCTGCTACAGAGAGAGAAATATATTAAGATGAGGAGCTTCACAGTCGGTGAAACAGACAAACATAAACACAACAGGTTTACAAGTAAATCTACTTTGACAGTCCACTGTTTTAAGGAAAACAACATTTTATTTTAAAGATAAAAGTTTTAAACATATGAAAATATATATTTTTTAAATATAAAATAAATATGTATTAAACTGTAAAACGTTTATTTTAAAACTTTATACTTCAAATTCATTGGGTTTCCCATGGAAAGAAATTGGTTGTTTTTATGACTATTGACTATTTACGTTTATATTTTTTGAACAATAATAGAAGAAAGTACAGTAACATTGGTCTTTGAGCGGCCCCTGTGTGTAGAACATGATAAAACTAAAAAACTTCTTTTATCTGTAGCTAAGATCAGTTTTTCACTGTCATCAGAGCCGCACTCTGAGGCAGTTAACAGCAGGGGGAGCTCACAGTACACGCAACTCTAATGTTCTACCAGAACGTAATACCAAAACATTTTTTTGGTAGGCATCCCTTCAACATTAAGGTCATTGTAACGTTTGAATTAAATTTACTGATCTGGAATCAGTTTCATATTTAGCTTATTGTCTTTTTTTCTTTATATGTAATTACATGAAAAAGGTCCTAAACGTTTTTTTAGTAGTTTTTATACAAATATAATTAAAAAAAAACTCTTTTTTTTTCTTAGCAGATTGTCTATTTTTATAAGTTGAAACATTTATGATGATATAAAAAAAATAAAGTATGCTAATGTTAATAACCAGCATGGTTATTAACATCCAGCCATATAAGGCGAGTTTTCATTTTGCCTTATATGAAATATCATTATTATTATTAAAGTGTTTGCCTTCTACTTTCTATAGAACTTAACAATGTTGTGGATTTAATTTCCACATAAAACCTTTGCTTTCAGAAATCTGTTATTTAATCATGTAGATATACAGTATAATATATGCATTTTTGTTTAGTCTCAGACTCACAGTTCATTGTCAGAAATTGGGCTTTAATCTCATATCCCTGCTGACTTTGATGGTAGAACTCTGACTGTAAATGAGACTATAATGTCAAATGTGTTATTACAGCCATCTGAATTATATTACATGGTTTTGATCTCAGATATTCTTATATTATAATTATGTCTTAATTCTCACAGATCACAACACCTTTCCTCACATTCCTTTCAGGTAACTATTTCAGATAACATTATGGTTGACACAAAACTAATCTAAAAAACAAAACCTCTGTTGTCACTATTCCTGTTTCAGTTCTTTTTGAGTGCTTAAGTCAGTTTATGTTATATATTGTATAATGACAATTATTGTTTACGTTTTATCAGTGTATGTCAACACAAAGTTTAGTATTGTCACCTTTTTTTACATTGAAGAAGAACATTGGTTGCACAACAGGTTGGTTACACACGATATTTTTTATATCCCTGTTCACTTCATTTTTTAAAAAAACAATCGTGTACAACAAGCCTTATAAATACATTTGTATATGAAAATTAACCCTAAACTTGTGTCTATTTATTTACATGTTGCATAAAAGTAGGTGGTGTGGTCACGGTCAAGGGAGAAAATATGAAAATCATATAAAGTGGAAATAAAGCTTCACATTTACTATATAAAGCTCTTGTTCTTATTAAAAAAAGTGAAAGAAAAAAACAACTGCTGTTTATAGGAATTTATTTTCATAATTTAAATTGTCTTTTTATACAAAGACTACATTTCTAAAAAAAATTAACACAAAACAATCAGTATTTACATTTTTATAAAGTGTCAATATATGGTTTATCCAAATAAAATCAATTTATGTGATGAATCAAATTATTTGTTTTTAATTTCCAGGCCTGGAGATTAAGTATTTTGTAAACACAATGTACACAACTAACCAATGTCCGTTCAGAGGGTGAATCTGAACAATGATTTTAAACAGGCACACAATAACATATTTGAACTACAAGTGAAGGAAAGTAAAGTGGTTTAACAAGGTGACTGAAACCGTTCTGATGAGGACCACAACGACCCATCAGACTCTTACACAGTTGACCCCAAGGCCCCACCCAACAGGGTGGAGCTGAAGTAGTTTTATTCTTTGTCACACCTAGAGTATATATCTGCTGTACTCCCCACCACCAGTTAGAACTGAAGAAGCCTCTTGGATGAGAGGTGAAACGTCTTCTTTAAAAAAAGATTACGTCCAGTTGCCTAACAGAACTTTTCAACCTTGACCATGACCTGGATGACTGAGAATCTTCACAGACATATTTAACAAGTGTTGGCTCTGGTGTCAAATAAATATTTTTACACCTTTTACTTTGGTCTGGGAGTAGTCTTTTTTTTTTTTTTTTTACAGTTGACCAGTGAACTAAACGTAAAACCAAAGTTCGTTGACAAACAATTTGTTCTAAGCCAACCTGGCTTCAAACCATCGACCTAGAAGTCTGCGTCCCAGCCAGACAGCTCATCAGGTGGACTGTGGTCGTCTGCAGAGTAGCTGTCGAAGTAGCTGAGGTCGGTTGGTCCTGAGACCTGAGGTGGACAAGATTGTCAGAAAGAAAGTCAGAAAGAAGGTCAGCATGACGCAGCGTCAGCCTGATCCTGGATCAACGTCGCTTTAAATAAAGACTTTCGATTTAGATTTTCCTAATATTTGTTCAAATTAATAGTACACTATTATATATAGATCTGAGTGTTTTGACAATTTAGGTTTGGTTCCCACTTACTTCTCTCTTCAGTGGAGAAGCCACAGTCCTGGTCTTCAGTCCCTCCCAGTTGAAACCATTGAACCACCTGCACAGGCATATTGTAACAGACTTAAGCATTGTTTTGAACACGTTCAATAACAGCTCTTGTGTGGTCTGCTGACCTGTGTTTCTTGATGTCTGTTATTCCATTTTTCAGGTTTCCAAGTCTCTCTGTGGGATTTTTCCTGTGACAATCAATGAGATTACTATTTTAATCTCTTCACATACATACATACTGTACATACATACATATACATATATATACTGTATATTAGGGATGTGCAATATTAACTTTTTGCTGATGGCTGATATGCCAATATTGTCCAAACATTTGATTTCTGATATCAACCAATACCAATACAGGCCTGGTAATATTTATTTATTTATCTGTACAAACCACTGTATGAATATGAGATTAATTAAATGAGCTGCAATGCTGCCATCTAGTGACTTTCACTTACAATATACAGCCGTTTATCATTCATTAAAGCCGTTCATTTTTAGAGCACACATCATTTAACGAAACCCAGGCATTGTGTTATCGGGTTTTCATTGTCGGAGGAAAACCCGATAACGATTTTTACAGATTTTACATAATATGCTAATATTTGGTCGATAAAATCGGACATCCCTTATATATATGTATATATAGATAGATAGATAGATAGATAGATAGATAGATAGATAGATAGATAGATAGATAGACAGACAGA